CCACCAAGCTGCGCAGCCGCTACCGCCTGACGTCCAAGGCCCTGCGCAGCGCCACCTGGAGCTGCAACCCCGCCAACACGCTGTGCAGGGCGGTGCTGCCGCTGACCATCCAGACGTACACGGGGTCAGTCTTCAGGGCCAGCATCCCCGACGGCCTCACCAAGATGACGCTGGTGGCCACTTACAACGGCCTGGACGACGGCAAGTCCAAAAAGCGCGTGCTGCAGGCCAGGATCGACACCTTCATGCTGATCAACAACCGCAAGTGAGCAGGGCGGGGACAGCCGGGGGCGCACGCTGGGGCGGGACCGGGGGCGCCTGGGTGTGATCTTGAAGCCGCCCCGCCCCGAGCCTGCTTCTTCGCCGGCCGATATGTAAGCGCTAGCGCTGCCCTCCGACGCCACCCCCCTTACCCAGCACGCAACCGGCGATCGGTGACAAGGTGCTGGGGGTGGAACAGTACTCCTACACAGACTTCCCTTGGGGCCAGCAGCACGCCGACTTGCGGACAAACCTGCCGCTGAAGTCCATCGCGAACTTCTTCACGTTCACGTCGATGCACTTCACATACTTCCGCGCAAAGCGCTCGTCCAACATCACGTCCGTGTTCGTGTCCATCGACCCCGACTTTTACACACCAGAGGCGGCCGATTTCAAGGGCAAGATCGTGCTGCAGGACTCCCAGGCCGCCGACATCGCGAGCAGCTGCAAGGTCTTCAAGGGCATGGTGCAGAACTGCACGCTGGTCAACACGCTCGACACCACGCTGCTGGAGAGGGGCCTGCACAGGCTGTTCCTGCGCTCTGACTCGTACGTGCCGCCGGACCACAAGATCTTGTCAAACTCCAAGCTGAACGGCGGCACGTTCTCCGCCGCTGCCTCGGTGGGTAGAAGAGGGCTGCCGTGGCATGGCTCGAGTGCCTGGTCAGGGGTCATGCGGGTGTGTGTGATTCACATGGGCTGGAGTGGGGCGCGCAACGCCTGGCAGCCATCTATCGCGGGGAAGGGGGGCTGCTTCAGCTGCAAGGCATTTACAGCATGCCGGGCCTCCCACCGCTGGCGTCAAGTCGCCCCCCACACCCTCAACCCTCCCCCCTCCAGATCACCCTGTCTGTGTGCAACGACGACGCCGCCACCTGCGCCGAGCCCGACCCGCCGCCGCCGGACGACAGGCCCCCCGTCCCCGACCTGCCGCCGATCAGCCCGCCGGTCGGCACCACCTGGTACAAGCCGGTTGACCCGCTGCCCAACCCCAACACCGTCCTGACAACGCCCTACGACTGCAGCGGCTGGATCGGCTTCAGGACTTTCCTGCAGGCCGAGACCTGGTTCACCCGGCCCGGGCTGGACCCCAACTTTGGCAGCACGCAGCTGCAGGTCGGCGCATGCATGCCGCACAAGCAGAGGGTGGCCGGCACGATCCCCCTGGACATCGTCGTCGGGAAGTTCAACTTCCCTGAGTGAGTGGCTGAGGGACGTTTTGGTTGTGGGGTGATGCTTTGTGCATGCGTGCGCGCGCATGAGCGTGCGCACGTGTGTGTGTGTGTGTGTGTGTGTGTGTGTGTGTGCGCGCGCGCGCGTCTGCGCACGTGCGTGCAAGCTAACGTGTGCGTTTGTAGCTAGTGCACAGCTGGGGCCGCCACTGTGACGGTGCAAGTTGTCTGTCATGTGTGTTTGATGTATGCACAAGCTGTGCTTCAACGCAGTCCACACTCCTTGCCCTTGCCGCGCCCTCCCCTCACGCCCAGCCGCTTCTGCACGCCCCCGCCCCTCACCCCTCCCCTGCCCTGCAGCAATGTCAACGTCAACGTGAACATGCGGGTGTCGTTCTTCTGGCAGGGCGGCAACGTCACTTTTGGCCTCGAGGAGGTGAGGCGGCGCAGGGGAAGCTGTGCCCGCGGAAGCTGCCCCTATGTGCGTTGTCTTGCTTCCCTCTTGGTGGCGTCCGCCCTGGACCCTATTGATGTGACCCATGTGAGCATATGCTTGGCAGCGCTCAGATTCTTGGACATCCGTCATGTCTTTATAACACAAAACGGCTTCCAACAAGCATGCGTGTGCCACAGCAGCAGCAGGCCCAACTGGCAGCCTCTCACCCCACCCTGTCCGCCCACCCTGCGCACCGCAGCAAGGCGTGATCCAGCAGTGGGCCTGCGACAACACGACGCCGGTGTGCAAGAAGGTGTACCGCTCCAGGATCGACACCCGCCCCGACTCCAAGGCCTGGTACCTGCCCGGTGCGTTTTGCTGCAGCCTGCAGCAAGCGGTAGCTGCACTAAGTGCAGCTGCGCCCTTGCCGCCTGCCGGCGGCGCCCCTGTCGGTCTTGGCAGGAACTTAGCAGCTGCCCGGCTCACGCACGCACATTACGGCTTGCTTGCTGGCCTTGCATCACGTTGACCCCACTCTACCCTGTGCTATTTAGCTGGCTTCGCTTGCACCGCAGAGCTCATCCCGCAGTCGTCACATCCACCGTCCACCTGGTTCATGCACCCCTCCTGTCTTTGCAACACACACAGACGGCCTCATCAAGGCGTGGGTGTGGGGCACGGTCAGGCTAAATGATGGCGTGACCAGCCGGTGGCTCGACACCCGGCTCGAGAGCTGGTTCGTCCTCGCCAACAACGTCGACACGTCCATCACAGGCATGACCCTGCCGCCTGCGGCGCTGACGCGCACGTTCATCCCTTGGAAGGTGGGCGGGGGCGCTCGTGGGCGCGGCATCGTGATTGTGTGTGTGGGTGCACGCGCGTGCACGTGTGCACACACACACACACACACACACACACACACACACCACGCATGGATTGGCACACGCCTGGAAGGTTCTCTTACATTGCCTGGCGTATTGGGTCGTCGCAAGTGCCCTCGCGCCCTGCAGGTGTGGCGGAGGCCAGGTGGCCCTCATTTGCACTCAGTTGCGCCCCTAAAGCAACTGCCCACTCTCCTCACCCCGCCTGACGAAACCCTCACAGAACACTTATGTCGCGTTGAACTCAGACCTCCCGCTGGGCAGCGTCACCGGGAACTTCACGTTCAAGAGCCGCCACTACCTGACCGGCAACACGGGCGCGAACCTCACCGGGATCTTCGTGGCCGTGGACCCCCAGCTGGCGGTGAAGCCGACGCCTGACTTGGGTTACGTCATCCGCAACACCGGCTCGTCGCCCCAGGGCACGCCCCTGGCGGTCGCGCCCGCCGGCTGCACCCTCAACGCCAACGGCGACGGCGCGCCCCTCACCTGCAACACCCTGACGCTCAACCCGTCGGTTGTCCCGAAGTTCTGCCCGCTCAACCCCTGCGACAACGGGCTGTGCGACGGCCTGCACAGGCTGGTGCTGCGCAGCGACTTCCTGGTGTCGCCTAGCAACCCCATCTTCCAGGGCCTGCCGCCGGACGGCCAGGTCGGCGCGGGCACGCTGTCCACCGTGCTCGTCGTCCCGATCGTCACGGTCAACAACATCGTCAAGAACCCCAGCGCCTGCCCCGCGGCCGCGGCGCCGGCGGCCGCGCTGGCGATGGCGCCGCGGTCGTCGGCCGTGTCGCTGGTGCACGAGGACGTAGCGGACGCCGCCGTAAGCTTCGCGGCGCCGTCGGCCGCCAACTCACCAGTCGTGGAGACCGTCGCAAAATTGATTCCCACAGTGGACTTTTGATACCAGCAACGCGCGGCCTGGCTTCCGAGCAGCTTCCTCGACACTGGAGCATCCGGCTCGCGCGCAAGCGCGTGGCGTGAGCCTGGCTCGTCGAAGCACCAGAGCAGGGGTGATGCTGCCTGCCCTGCTGACGTGTACTTGGCACGCCACCAGACGTTGGCGCTGGTGTGTGCGTGAGCCGGAATCTGACCTCGACCCACCACAAGTCCTCCAGCCCTCGGGTGCCGAGGCCCCGGCGCAGTGGCGCCGGAGCAAGGCCGGCAGCGGGCTTGTGGGGCCTGCGCGCACTGCTGCGCTGTGGCTCGACGCAATCTGCATGGACTCACGCACTTGCGATTAGCATCGATGGCAATGCAACACATGCTCTCACCCACTTTGTATCGGGCCAACAGATAGAGCTCTTCCTTTCGCCACATATATCAAACACACATCCTGGGCAGGGGTGCGTCTTCTCCGCCACAAGACTGCTGCCGCTTTTGCGCACCAGCACCCGCTTGGGGCACCCCCTCACCACCACATAGCAGCCTCGCCGCAGCTTGCGACTTGGGCACACCCCTTTTCACGCCCGAAAGAACAACGGCGCGCGCCCTGTGCACAAAGCCTGGTGGAGCGTGTGCTGCTGCCATTGCCGATGCGTGGCATCACGAGGATCCTGCGACTTATGTTGGGCATGCATTTAGGGCCGCCCCGCTTCCCGCCCATAATATGCTCTTTTGGCCATTATTGCACAGCGCTTCGGCTCCGCCACGCCCTGTGCCAGGCACCTCGAGCCCCCCGCCGACTGTGGGCCCAGAGTTTAAAGAGGCTGTCGTCGCGCCATGGGCTGGGGCCAATCACACACTCTTCGTTACCGGCAATATCACCAACTGGGTGTGGGGACCGACCCAAATCTCATCATGCCACCCGTCGCCACTCGTACGGCCGACGCAGCCCGATGGCGTGGGCTTTCTTTCTTTTCACCTCGCCTCGCCACCCGACGCTCAAGTACAGGACGCATCATGGATGGTGCGCATGCGTCTGCTCGCACGTGTACCCACCGTGTTTGCTGACCTGCGGAAGATCAAACATTTGAGGCTGCCACCCACAACATCTGGTGTGACTGCCGTCTGAAGTAAGCCCTTATCTGCTGTGACTGATGCCGTATGCCACAACCCTTGTGCCCTTCGTAGAAATCCTCAACTTGCCTGTGAGCAGGATGGGGCTAGTGCGTGCCAAGCAGCTGCAAAGTAACGTGATGGCAGCCAACGGTTTTCGGACGGCGGGGGGAGGGGGGGCTGAGAGTTGGCGATGGCGGGCCGGGGCGCGCGGGGGCCGACGGGGGACCCAAATCTGTTGACGGGGCGTTTGGGTGCGCCGGGCAGGGTCTGCAAGGGGTTCGGGGGCCTGGGCTCTGCGCTAGAGGGGTGGGGTCCACAGTCGGTGCCGGCGGCGGGGCGCGCCCTGGCAGGCGGGGGGCGCAATTAGCTTGTGTGGTGCGACGGGCAGGGTCTGAGAGGGGATTGACGGCGAGGCCCGCGCTTCTGATGGCGGGGCTGTATTATAATTCTCGTGCAGGTGACCGGGGGCGGGGGTGCGGCGCTGGGTGCCTGTGCTGTCTAGAGGCATGGGTTGTCTAAAGGGAGGATAGCCACCATCGCCGGGTTTGGCAGACACAGCACAATGGGGATGGCGTGTGTGCTTGCTGGATGCCTGTGATAGGGCCCCGATCTAGTCAACAGAGTTGGTCCAAAAAGCAAAACCCCCTGGGCGTGGACCATTTTGTATTTTTTTTCATGTATGGTCACAACTTGGTTTTTTCCAGCCTCAAGGGGTTGCATTTGGGGGGGACATGCGCCCAACTTATAGAACGTGTCCACACCATCAATGCCCACCTGCAGGCCAATCCTGCATATGACCCCCCTCCAAAACACGCTGTCTCCTCACACAGCTGCAAGGCTGCCTTGTCATCGTGCTAAACATGCCTCTGTGTCGTGCCGGTTGGCACACGTCATATGTGAAAAATGATCCAGCAGTTCAAGCACATTGCCCGGACACATACAATGGTCAATGCAGGGAGAATGGCCACAAGAGACGTTTGACCGCAGCCCAGGAACTCCCAGATCCATCAAATGATATTGTAAAGTTTCTCCAACAGTTATATGCGCGCGTTTCGACGCGACTGATATGTGAGCAGGTGCATTGTGGTGCTTGCCGAGCTGCGCTGCCCTCTTTCCGCGCAAAAGGGATAATAGCATGGATGATTATAGTCCCCACGCTGATCTACATTGCATAAAATAGCGACATCATCCGAGGTCGCGGTGGGTACAACCCGGCCCGGGGTTCCGTTCGCGGTCGCTGCGGTAATCGGGACCTGCACACGGGATGTGGGCCACGACAGTGATGAGAAGTCGCCTGGACACCACCAAGCACGCTGTGACGTGCGCACAGTCAGGGAACGTGGCGCGCGGCGCCCAACAAGCTGGCATGCTTGCTTCTGATTGTGGTGACCTGCCGTGCCAAGCGTCGAGCACTGGTCAACACGACTGCTATGTGAGCTGTCACACAACAGCACATGCATTCATGCTTGACGGGCAGCTGCAGCGAATTATCCGCACTTCCACCAGCTGAACGGCGGGCATGCACCCCCAAGGTGCGCGGCGACGCAATGAGCGTTTTACTCAGCGCGCTGAGACTACGCCACTGCCCCACTGCCGCCCCGTCCGACTCGCCTCCAGAGAGCAAGGCCACGGCACAATCGCCCTGTGCTGCGTTGCGCTTACCTCTGCTAATTCGGATGCACATTCTGCACGAATGCAGGGACACTCATAGATGATGCTTACTGCCGAACGACGCTCTTTGCTGTCGCAATGGCCAAGAGTTTGCTGCAGTTCTGACTGTGCTAAAGAAAAAAACCAGACAGACCAGGACAGTTTGATTTGCACCTTGGGACAGGCTGATGCAATGTGCCGTATTACATTTGTACACGTTGAGCTGGGGCCGGCAGGACTGTCCACAAGCATGCTGGACCATGAGTGAGCGCAACAATTAGGGCTGGTGACGCCGGGCAGTTTCAAACTTGAACCACTTGATACACAGCTGTGCATCCACGGTCCGCTATGCGCGCGCTGATGGCCTCACACACCGTATATGCGTGTCATACTGTTCAGTGCAACCATGCATTAGATCTCGGACGGCGAGCGATGAACCGCGCTTTTGATCTATAGTTACGGTTTGCTAGAGGTGCAAGCAACGATGATGCTCAGGGCAGTGCTCCTGCTAATGGCTGCTGCGCTAGTCGCTGGATCGCTTTCGCGCAACAGCATGACCTCGAACGCAGCAACGCGGCACACCTCCAATCCCCACGACGCGCCCACAACCGGCGGCAGCAGGGCCGACGCAGAGCCTGCGGGCCGCAGCCTGCAGCAACCGGCCAGCGACGGTGCTCACGCCGGCGGACACGGCGGCGAGAGCTCCCAGCAAGCAGCCATTGCGTCTGGCAGCGGCGCCGGCGCCGTCGTGGGGGCCCTCATGGCCTCAATTCGGAGCCCTGTGAGCACCGCCACAGCCGGCCTGGTCAGCGACAGCTCGGATATCGACAATGGTGTCCCCGCCGGCAGCGCGCGCTCGCCAGCCGGGCAAAGCTCTGAGCGGCGGCACCACCGCCCGCGAAAGCACGAGCAGCAGGGGAAGGAGCAGCACGGGAAGGAGCAGCAGCAGGAGCAGCAGCAGCGACAGCAGCAGCAGCAGCAGCAGCACCCGCGGCAGCAGCACCACCGCCCTCGCGGCAGAGTGTACCAGGGTCGCTGCGTGGGCGCGACCGGCGGGTGGTGCGGCGGTTACCAGTCCCAGTCCCTGGTCGATTTCAGGGCCCCTCCTATCATGTCCAAGCCCTGCGCCAGCGGCTGCAGCGGCGTGGGCAACTGCCGCGGAGACACCGGCACATGCGACTGCCCGGCAGGTGCGCGAGTGGGGGCCGAGCGCCCGGGCCGCGCCCGGGCCGCCCCGCATGATTGCCCCTCCCGCTGGAAACGCTGACGGCGGCGGGCCTCCTGTTCGGCGCCCGCCCGATGCTCTTCACAGGCTGGGGCGGGCCGAGGTGCGCCGACCCTTTGAAGCGGCCCTGCACCCGGGGCTACCGCAACCCCCGGAACAGCACGGAGCCGAACAGCCACATCGGGCCCGACAAGAGGGATCTCGACTGGTCTACGCCAGAAAGCACCTATTCCAGGTCAGGATCCTGCGTGTTTGGCTGATAGAATGCGTGCTTGGCATTAAATTCGATTCAATACGGGCCCACTGGTGAACAGAGCGAAGGCACCCCCAGGGGGGCGGCGGTGCCATGGGGGCGCACGGCGCCGCCGACACCTCGGCGGGGATGGGGAAGGAGGCGTTGTGCTGAGGGCTCGCTCGGACCTCACAGGCTGATCAGTGCCCAGCAGCACAACCCTCCTGTTGCGCCCCATGCAACTGTCCTCCGAATCCCTCACGCGGGCGCGCTCGGCGTAACCAACAGGTGCGCGGGTATCTGCGATGACGACATCGGCGCTTGCTACTGCGACCCCAAGCTCGGAAACCCCAAGTATGGGCGCATCCCTGCGCCCGAGGGCAGCCCGCCGGGCACGCTGCCGGTGCAGGAGGGGCGGCCGCTGTTCGACCCCTGCAGCCGGCTGGCGGACGACGGGAAGGGGAACAAGCTGAATTGGCACCACATCACAGTGCCATACGACAAGGTGGGGGTCTTTGTTAGGGATTTGGCCGCGCTGATGATGGGGCGATTGTGCGCGGCGTGCGCCGCATCTGCATTATGTTGTGTCTTTGCAAGAGGCTGGGAGACAGTGTAAGGGAGGGTCCACGCATGGGCATGTGGTTTGGAACATGCTTGTGGCAGCAGAAGCTTTTGTATTGCATCCCCCTCTCTCCTCAAGCACATGTGCATATGTTACCGCGTGTCTCGTCCGCTTCCCTCATCTGCCGCAGGTGTACGGGCCTGAGGGGTGGTGCGTGCTCAACGCCCCAAAGGTGGGGTCACCAGGCTCATGCGGCCAGCGTAGGCTGGTAAACACAGCCTGCTGCGCCACACATCGCTTCCGGCCCTTGACACGTCCGACTTAATACAATGGCCTGCGTAAATGAGGGCAACTTCACGCATGCCACGTGTGTGTACATCTGCGTGTGTGTGTGTGTGTGTGAAAGAGAGAGGGAAAGAGAGAGTGTGCGGAACCCGTGCTTGCATGCAGGTGCATGCGCGATTGACCAACTGCTTGCGCGTCGCACCCCCCTCCAGATTCCGGTGTGCGGCTGCGGGCTGGATGGCTACGGCGGCGCCGGCTGCGGCCTGCGCTCCGAGATGGTCTGCCCCAACCAGTGCAGCGGCCGCGGCGCCTGCCGCCGCGGCTTCTGCGCGTGCGACGCCGGCTGGTGGGGCCTCGACTGCGCGCACGCCGCGAGCGACGGCGCCGCGGCGGCGGCTGCGGGGGCGCCGGCGCGGCTGCCGAGGTGGCTGGAGGGGTTGGCGGTGGACGCCTGGGTATGCGCCTCAACAGGCGCGGGCTGCTTGGATGTTTTGATGGTCGGCGCCGACCTGCGGGCCGACTGGTCGGCGCTGGGGCTCGCCAACCCGAACGCCCCTGAGTGGGTGCAGAGGGCAGCGGCCGGGACGGCCGCCGGCGGCGGCGGGCAGCATGAGTCAGAGGAGGACCCCGCGACGGCGTTCAGGCTGGGGGGCATCAAGGGCGTCCGGCGGCGCCGCCGCGGGAACGGGACGCGTGAGGACGCCGCGTCCGCGGTCGCCGCAGCAGCCGCCGCCGCGGCGGCGGCGATGGCGGCGCTGGACGCGGGCGGTACGGCCAGCGGCGGGGCTTCCGGGGCGGGGCAGCAGCAGCAGCAGCCGGAAAGACCAAATGCGGGCGCGGAGGATTACAGCGGGGCCGACGGCGCCCCGCTGCCTGAGGAGCAGGGGACCGGCCCCGGCCACGAGGAGCGGCGCCGGCGCGCGCTGCTGCGGCAGCAGCCGGCCGCCGCGGCGCCCGGCCGCGGCCGCGGCCCCGCAGCTGACGCC